TACCCTCTAACCTTTACGGCGCTTACTTATCGCCTGTTATAAATAGCATAAATGCTTATAACCTAAAAAATAATCTCATTCTCGAGTCTATGTCGATTAACTTACGACGAAACTTTAACGTTTGAAAACGCGAAATGTAACAACACTACCCTCCCATACCTCACGGTATTGGATAATACTGGGTATGTTGTTATTGTTGATTATTACGGGGCAAAAGTGATGGAAGCAATATATCTTGCCTATAATGATTTTGACCATGACCACCCTGGTATAAACTTTCTCTTTGAAAGATATATTTACCATATGGATGTGATGAATATGTGATAGTACAAAATTAATTGAGTGTTCTCGAAGAGCCAATTATTACTATTTTGGATAAATAAAACTGGTTATTAATAATGTATTATGTCGTAGTAAGTCTCAAAAAAACTTATTGAGTTTCTAAAGTATTCACAAAAGCGGTTGATTATATTGATACTATAAATAATGAAAAGATTTAATATCTTCTATTACTACAACTTATAACGGGAAAATATGTATGTGAAAAATTACCCGCTTTATTTTTCAGTTTGTACTATACAAATAAAAGAATGCTACAATAAAGTAGAAGTTTATTGATATAAAAACTCTTATCATAATAAACTTGGTATTTATTGATAATTGCACACGTCATGGTATAAACCTAGAGTTTATCAATATTAATAATTTATCCAGTTGGCATAATTGATTTAGCCATGTCAATTTAAGTATGATGCGCAAAAATAAAAGAGAATTCACATGATAAATATTATAGAACTAGAAAGTTCTTTACGAATTATCTTATGTTGTTTGTTCTCATTAATTAATAGACCAACTAAAACTGGGGTTGAATCCCATGAATGCTAGAAATATCAAAGGTGAATATGAGCTCATTCACCTACCATGTATACCACATAAGATGCATCTATGAGATGGTTACATGTGCGATTATTATTAACCTGCAACATGATGTTTGCCAGATAATTTGCTCAATAATTTAATTTAGAGCATATTCCAGATTTTTTTATTTAGGATAGTTCATCTTGATAAGTTGGTTTACATCACAGTTAGTTTAGCAAAATAATTTATTGAGTGTCTTCACTTAATAACTAAACTCTTGCTTATGAGAACAGAGTTTTATATATATATATATATATATATATATATATATATATATATATATCAGTTTAT